TCTCCTACTCCCTCTTCCTCCCTCCCTTCTCCGTGGGAGCACAGTGTACTGTCACAAGTACACTGCCTGAAAAGCTCTTCATACAAATACGGTTATTGCTTGCTGCCTCACTTCTTTCTAGTACTCAAATTATCATCATAATAAGAGACCTTTTCATACCAACAGATCTAAAATAGTACCCCTTTTTCGTTAATATCTCAATCTCTATCCAATTATCTTTAGAGTTATTGTATCTTCTACCAGGATATTAAGAGAGTAAAAGAGTATGCTTTCAGTACTTCCACCAACACAACAGGTATAAAAAAGTACTGCTCAGGGCAAATGGGGATACATGATCCTCCTGTTTTTCTTCCTGACTCTGATCTATTATTTTGTACTTTCACTTTCACTAGAAAGACAGTTTCATTAGAGCAGAGACTTTTCCTGTTTTGTTCACTGCTGACTCTCTAGTGCATGTGGCAATACCTGAAGCATACTAGGTACTCGATGTCCAGGGAGTTAAGTAAAATATCACAAATGCATCATATAACTGCCTCCCATTACTGTTTCTATGACTGTTGGAACCTACTGAGAGAGAGCTATTTGTAGTCCTATAATCCTTTGGTTAGGAAATGTATTTTGTATGTGAGAATTTATAATTTAATAGCTTCTCTGGCTTCATTGCCCTAAACATTTGGAAAAAGAGAAGATAGGATCTTTATATTGCAGTAGATTACTAGGTGTCCTTATTGATTTCACTTGTTTGTAGAGAAAAATAGCAGTTTCATTAGAGCCCTTGCTTTTCAGGTTCTGGGAATTAGTGCTCATCCAGTGTCTGGAGTATTTAAAATGCTTTCAGGTGAAGATCTGAAGGCTGAGAATAAATCCTTCAGTCTGTGAATGAGAGTTTCCCCGCCTCAGTCCTCAGGAGAGTTTATAGGACTCAGGATTGTTTTAAATCCACAATGGCAAATACATTACAACCAGTTAACCTTTGTAGTTAGGGCAGGTAAGCAGACATTAGAGGAAATGATTATAGCAATTGTTCCTGAAGGTACAGAGGGTTAATGGCATTCTGACACTCTCTCTTAAGGTATTTACTGTAGCTTTTGATTTGCTATCTGTGACTAGGATTTCTGGAGTATTAATAATGTAGTTTGATTTATTAGTCTTTTCCTTCATGCTTAGTGCTTTTTTATTATATTTAAGAATTCTTTCCCTACACCAATTATGAAGATATTCTTCTGTATAATCTTCTAGAAACCTATTCCTTTACCTTTTACATTTAGATTTACAGTCCACCTGGATTTTGTTTTTATATATAGTGTGAAGTAGGGATAAAATTTCATTTTTATTTTATGTATATCTAATTGAGCCATACCATTTGCAGAAAACATATTCTTATTTCCACTACTCCATCATTACTTTGTCATAAATTATATTTTTTTCTAGATTCTCTGTTCTGCTACATGGGTCTATTTGTCATCTATTTTTGCATAAATATTATGCTTTCTTAATTGCTGTAGCTGTCTTAGTCTGTTTGGGCTGCTACAGCAAAATATTATAGACTGGGTTGCTTATAAACAATAGAGGCTTATTTTTCATGGTTCTGGAGGCTGGGAAGTCCTAGACTAAGGTGTCAGGAGGTTTGGTGTCTGCTGAGGGCCGCCGTTGGGTTCATAGACAACTGTCTTCTTCCTGCCTCCTGTGGATAAAGTGAAGGTTCCTCTGGTTAGGATTCTCACCTGGCCCTGGTCAGCTAGCTAACTACACATGTGTGGGCAATACGACGCTACTGACTCTATATAAAGAGCTCCACCCAGTGCTCTGGGCAACATCGTGCATGGCTGCACAGCTACAGGGCTGCAGAAGAGCAGAGACTGGAGTAGTGGCAGTGCCAAGAACAGAGACTGAGATGGCGGACAGGGTAGAGAGGCCCAGAGGCAGAGACTGGCTTGCTGCTTGCAGACTCTCTCTGAGTGGACAGGATTCTAGTGATTGACCTGCAACTGTGGGAATAAAGTTGGGATAAACCCTTTCACCCCAAGAACATAACATTATCATTCCTTGGTCTCACTGTGATCTTGCCTGGGCCAAAACCACATTAGCAAGATACTGCTCACATGACAGAAGGACCAAAGAAGCTCTTTGGGTCTCTTTTATAAGGGCACTCATCCCATTCATGTAAGGTTTGCCCTAATCACTTTCCAAGACTCCAGCTCCAAATATTACACCAGGGGCTATGATTTCAGTATGTGAATTTTGGGGGGATACAAACATTCAGTATATAGTGTTGGCTATCAATTTTTAGTTTACTCTTTACTCTTACGGTTTGTATTTTCAAGGTCCATTCCTGTAGCTGAGCCAGTTAGGCTATTTCCTTTTACCTGCTGACCTTCCCCCCCACCCCATCTCTTCCCAAGGCCATGGTACTCCAGTTTTTGGTCCTCTACTTCATGAGTTTATCAAAAGCTATGTTCAGCTTTTCAACCTCTTAGCTACCTCTCTCAGAGTTGTCAGATATCCAAAGGGAAATACAGCCTCAAATGCCAGGCTTACCTCTCTCTGTTACCTTTTATACTAAATTTCAGATTGGTAACTTTTTTACTACTTGTTAGGTCTCTTGTGCCTTCATTATCTGCCTTTTCAAGTTGATTTTAGCACGAGATTTGTTTTTGAGACATCTTATCTCTCATAGAGATTACCCTGCTACGCTATATTTAGAGACTTTGTATATCCTGTTCCTCCTATTTGAAAAACTACTTCCCCAGGCCCCCAACTCCCAGTTGATACCTATTCTACTATAGATCTGATTCCAAGAGCTATCCCTCAGCTTTCTCTGACTCCCTGACTGGATTTGGCCTTATTATACTCTTTTGTGGCACTGCCTGCACTACTTTCATTGTACTTGTAGTTTGTAATTATATATTTATTTATGTGTTTATTTCATCTAATGTTTGCCTTCTCAATGTGATGCAAGATTCTTGAGGAAAAGGTCCATATCAGTTATTTTTTATTATTACAGTTCCAAGTATGACCTTTAAGGAGTATTTAATATTTCTTAATAGATTTGACATTTGGTATTAGGTTAATTGACTGAGATTCCCCTTGGATAAAAATGGCAGAATTTAAAGAAAGAGATTATACCTTTTTCATGGGTTCTTGGGAGAAAGGGCATAATTTATCTTTTATTAGTATTTTTATACATTCATTTAAAGTACTTCAGACATAGTAAAAGTACAAGGAGTTATGTAATATACCTAGCTGTCCTCACCACTCTGCTTAAGACATAGACATAGTTTGTGTTTACAAAAATGGACCAAGAGCCTGTATGTAAAGTCAGCTGCTCCCTGACACAGGAGCACAGGCAGTGTAGTGGAGCACAGCCAGTCTCCCTAACAGATAGTGCTGGACCCCTGGACAGCCAAATGCAAAACAGTGCAACTAGATGCAAACTGTATGCCCTTCACCAAAAGTAACTCAAAAGGGATCTTAGGCCTAACTAAAATGCAAAACCATAAAGCTCCTAGAGGTAACATAGGATAAAACTTAAATGACCTTGAGTATGATGCTGCCTTTTTAGATACAACACCAAAGGTATCATCCATGAAGGAAAACTGATAAGCTGGACTTCCTTTAAATTAAAAATTTCTGCTCTGTGAAAGACAGTATCTAGAGAATTAGAAGACAAGCCGTAGACTGATAGAAAATATTTGCAAAAGACATATCTGATAAAGAACTAATATCCAAAATGTACAAAGAACTCTTAAAACTCAACAATAAGAAAACAAACAACCTAATTAAAAAATGGACCAAAGACTTTAAGAGTTACCTTAGCTAAGAAGATATACAAATGGCAGGCATATGAAGACACTGCACATTATATGTCATCAGGGAAAACAGTGAGATACCACTACACACCTATAATGACTAAAATCTGGGACACTGACAGCACCAAATGCTCATGAAGATATAAAGCAATAGGGACTCATACATTGCTGGTAGGAATGCAAAATGAAACATTAACTTTGGAAGACAGTTTGGCAGTTTATTGCAAAATTAAACATACTCTCACCATATGATCTAGAAGATAATGCTCCTTGGTATTTGCATCTCCCAAAGGATATGAAAACTTATATCCACACAAAAACCTGCCCAAGGATGTTTATAGCAGCTTTATTCATAATTGCCAAAACTTAGAAGTAGCCAAGATACCCTTTAGTAGTAAATGAATGGATAGTGTGGTACATCCAGACAATGAAATATCATTAAACACTAAAAAAAGCTGTCAAACCATAAAAAGACATGGAGGAACATTAAATGCATGTTTCTAAGTGAAAGGAGTCAGTATGAAAAGTCTACATGCATTCAAACTATATGACATTCTGGGAACGGCAGAACTATGGAGACAATAAAAAGATTAGTAGTTGCTGAGGGTGGGTGGAGTTGAAGAGGAGAAAAGAGATGAATAGGCAGAGCACAGAGGATTTTTAGGGCAGTGAAAACACTCTATATGATATTATAATGATGGATATATGTCATTAGACATCTGTCCAAACCCACAGAATATACATCGCCAAGAATGAACTCTAAGGTAAACTATAAACTTTGGATGATTATGATGTGGCAATGTAGATTCATTCCCGGTAACAAGTGTGTCATTCTTGTAGGTGGTACTGATCATGGGGGAGGCTGTGCATATGTGGGGACAGGGGATATATGTGAAAACTCTGTACCTTCCTCTCAATTTTGTTGTAAACTTATAGCTGCTCTAAAAAAATTATCATTGAGAAATACCAGAGAATAAAAAACCCAGGAAGATTGAAGGGTTAATCTCTACTATAGATTAATAAAGCAATGAGATGTGTCAACCAAAAAAAATGTAAACAGAATACACTAAAATATAAACATATATGTAGTCTGTCTAGGAATTACTCTAACTTTTAGATACTTCTATGGTAAAGTAACTAATTTTTATTATTAATTTGTTTACTTAAGGACATTTTTCTTTAAACTTTCAGATGATACAGCATTGCTTGAGTTGATTCAACTAGTTCCACCAGGTACTGTATTATATTTTGATAAGGTAATTGATGTGTGAACCCATTTCAGTGTAATAAATGTTTTTAAAAAATATCTTTTCCCATTCTTCCTAAATTAAGAACAATGTTGAGTTTCTCATATTGATACACTATGTATAAAATACCAATAGATGAAAATAATATATACAGAAAAGATCGACATAAATGATATTCTAACACATTGTCATAAAATTGAATAAACCATAACAATTGAAAGTGGGAAATAATCTGATGTCATCGTAGCATATTTTGTAGCATTCCGAAAAATTGACTTTTAAGTTTTTGTGATTTTTCTCAGACTATATGCTTTTGTTGATAAATTAATTATCTTTGTTTTTATGTGTGGACTGTAGTTGGGAAGGGAGGGTAATAAACTATCTACTTAACTAATATGAATATATGGAATAGGGAGGGTTAAAATATGGAGGATCTTTTATTTCTGTTACGACTTCTATAATTATAAAAGAAACCTATCTTGTGAAATAATTATTTTATGTGAACAATGGATAGCTTTATTTTATTGAAAACTAGTAATCTGAAAAATTTTGAGTATTATGTATATACCTAATTCAGATAATCACAAATTCTGGAAAATGTCTACATTTTTTTTCAGTGTGTAACCTAATATTTTATAATGGCAGGGAGAAACAAATGGATGATAGGAAAAATCTGTGGAGATGATAGTTGAGTTTTAGATGTATAAATGTCATACCGACTATGTACGCTTATAAAGGATATTTTTTTCTTGGAACTCATAGGTACTCACTAAATTTACATGATTATCCCCCTTTTACAAAAGGGAGAGGAAAAATTATTAATATATACTACTTTTCCGAATGAAGAAATGTGTTAGTCCATTTAATGTAACTTTAATTTTCCTTTCATAGAGAAAAAATGACCCTGCACCAGGTATTTCAGTAAGGCATCAGGCCTGTAAATTGTACTTGATGGTTTTGTTTCTAAATAGAATATTTTGTTATAATTTGAATCATAGGGTATTTTTCTTGTAGGGGGTGAAACACTGTCTACATATGATGAAAATACACGAGATTTCATGTTCCCAGGTCCAAACCAAATTTCTGGGCACCATGACTCAAACCGCCAGGTTACCATGAGGAGGATTTCTGGCCTTCGAGTAAGTGCTTACTATTTTCTGAATCAGTTTGTGTTGCAGAATCATGGTCAGAAACCATGACACAGCCTTCAATCTCTGAAATGTGAAGAACTAATTCAAGTTTAATTTGGTTCAGAATATAATTGTTTTCTGAAATTATGATGTTATTTTAAATATACTGAAACATAAATGAAAATAATATAATAATCCCATTCATCTTTCATTCAAAATTAGCAAGTGTTATTTTTCCTTATATTCTTCCCATTTCTCTTCTCTACTTTTCCTGTCTTTCCCCCTCTCCACTGTCTCTGTTTATCTGTATCTCATCTCTTCTCTATTTTCCTCTCAACAGAATGACCAATAAAAATCTGAAAAAGTGCTCAATCTCATTAGCTTATAGGGAAATCCAAATTGAAACAATCATATGATTTCATTTTTATAGCTATAAGATTGGTAAAATATAATAAATTTGACAGTATCAAAGTTGTGAAAAAATGGAAGCTCTTATTGCTACTATGCTATGTGAACCAGAACAACCACAGTTCAGAATTATCTACTAAGGCAAAGATCCTGATAGCCTTCTAGGTATCTGTCTTAGAGAGATGTATTCTCTCTGGTATTCAAAGAGCTTACTTAGGAATTTTCATTTATAACATTGTTCATTAACAGTGAAAAATGGAAATAATTGAAATATCCACTAGTATCCAATAATTTGGATGGATTAATTATTAAATGTTCATGTAATGGAAGTGCATGTTCATATACCAAAAAAGAAAGTTGCATTGTGACAGCAAACTCTCACATCCTTTCCTGAACTTCCTTGGATGTTTTTTTTTTGGATGATATAAAAATCTTTTTTCCCTGAAAGTGTCTTCTACTTAGAGAAACTGAGAGAAGTTCTTGCTATTTAAAAGAAAAAAGTGAAAGTTGTGTAGGTTGAGATAATCTGGACAATCACCAAGTATAAAATACTAGAGGAGTCTGAGTAAAGAAAATGGGGTGATACATGAGCCAAGATGGTGAACTAAATAAATTATCCTTTGGGTTTAGGTTTGTAACATACTCTGTCCTGGGAAATAGGACCTTCAGCTTTCTGAGAAACAAAACTTGACTAACTATCAAATCTATGAAAATATACCTCCTTTGGGATATTTTCAGTGTCCATTAGCCACTTTCGGTACTATAAAAGTCTTCAAAGAATGGTTCAACAGCAGTATAGAAACTTGCAGTGAAACAAAATCTGATTTAAAAATTATGCTCTTTTAAAGGGGCATTACAATTAGCACACATAATGTAGAGGGGGCACGGGGAAGGCAGTATAGCACAGAGAAGACTAGTGACTCTATAACATCTAACTATGCTGATGGACAGTGACTGTAATGGGGTATGTGGTGGGGACTTGATAATGGGGGGAATCTAGTAACCACAATGTTGCTCATGTGATTTTATATTAATGATACCAACAAAAAAATTATGGTCTTTTAAAAGTAATTCAAAATGTTGTATTATACCAAATTGGCAATATAAAAATAAGAGTATGGGCCATTAACAGGTCTGTCTCCATTTAATTTGAGTTACTTTCACATATATTCAGATGTTGGATTACTAACACACACGCACACACACACACAGTGGGACTTCTGGTAGTGGTGGTGTATAGAGGTTGGCAATTCCTCTCTCCACACTAAAGAAGTATAAAACTGCACAGCATTGTCACAGTCAACAGTTTCAGGATGCAGGACTGGCAATTAAGACTCTTAAGACAGGACAAATTAAGAGTTTATGCTTGAATAATGGCTGAACCTTTGAGCAAAAATGGTGGGAGTATGTGGTCTTCTTTCCTGGGATAGCTCCCAAACCCCAAGTGGCCAATGAGAACTGTAGTTTCACCAAGCCTGGGGCTGGGCAGGAAAATCAGCTTTGCCACCAGAGGGGTCAGAATTAATTTGGGGCCATGAGACTGTGGTATTGTGGTTTATAATAAGAAATATGTATTTGATCTTTATCCCCATTCTGGCACAGACCTATAGAAACCCTTTCAATTTCCTAAGTGATGGGAGTGATAAAGGTATCTTCTGTTATGCTAATGATGTGACTTGGGAAGCCCCTTGATGACCTGAGAATGGCAGCTGGTTGCAGAGGCCTACCTATGTGATTAGAGGGTTGGAGCTTTCAGCCTCTCCCCTGACCTCTGGGGAGGGCAGAGGGACTGGAGTTAAAGTTCAGTTACAGTGGCCAGTGATTTAATCAGTCATGCATATGCAGTGAAGCCTCCATAAAAATCCAAAAAGACTGAGTTTGGTGAGCTTCCCAACTGGGAACTCGTGGAAGTAAGTGCTGGGAGAGCAGCATGCTTGAGAGGGCATGGAAGCTCCATGCCCTTTACCACGTATTTTGCCCTACTAATCTCTTCTATCTGGATATTCATTTGTATCCTTTATCATACCCCTTTATAATAAACTGATAAACAGTAAGTAAACTATTTTCCTGAGTTCTGAGAGCCACTCTAGCCAATTAATTGAACCTGAGGAGGGGGTTGTGGGAACCTCCTATTTATAGCTCATTGGTCAGAAGTACAGGTGACAAGCTGACTTGTCATTACTTCTGAAGTGGGAAGGGGACTGTTTTGTAGGGCTGAACCTTTCCCATGAGGGATCCTATACTATCACCAGGCAGATAATGTCAGAACTGAGTTAAACTGTAGGACACTGCTTGGTGCCGCAGAAAATTATTTGGTGGTGATGGAAAACCCACACATTGGAATTGGTATCAGAATCATAGGGACAAACAGTGTGGCTTGCCAGCTAAATGTGGTGGATTCAGATGGAAGTGGATGACCCCACAACTTTACTAGGCTGATTATAGTTTCAGTTAGAATGAACAGCCCACCTGCCAGAAAGTTGACAGGGAGATGCTCAAAGTAAGCATGCAATAAAAGGACTGAGATAAGCTCTCCACATACTTCTGACTGACTGTGAAGCTATGTATGTACAGGGGAGACAGTGAGAGCCCAGCCAAAAGTGAGATCCTATATAGAGACTAGAGACCTGGCTGTATCTTTAAAAACATTCCCCAACTGATAGATAATCGGCAAAGAGTGGAACCACTACAGGTTCTTTGGATGACACTAAGCTATGCATACACAAATCAGACCCTTAATTCTGAGTAGAAGAACAATAAGAAGTGGCACATATGTAATTTGAACCACAAAACAATAGATGTGAATCTAATTTTATCACTTATTTTATTTAGATGTGAATGGAAAAAACACTCCATTCAGTAGTTTGTTTTCCTTATATGCAATAATTTACCCTTCTGAAGAATTTTTGTGATTCTGCATAGACATCTGTCTGTGTCTTAGGTTGCCCTCCTGAACTCACTACTGTGGCAAGGATTCCAGTCACATGTGGGATTAAATCCTGCCACTGTCCTGTGTACCTAAGTAAACTTGAGCAAAGCACTATAACATAGAGCTAACATAGAGCTGTTGGATGGACTAATGAAACCTTATGAATGATTATAGCAGTGCCTGGCACATAGAAAGGGCTCAGTAAATGTTAGTGATATGATGGTGGTTGTGGACATCATGACATTGGGGATTGTGCTAATACCTCTTTTAGACTGTGAACTCATAAAAACAAAATTTGTGACTTCTCATTAGTTTAACTCTTAGCACAGCATTTTGCATGAGGTAAGTACTAAAATGCCTCTTGATGGAACTAATGAATGAATTATATCTTACGGTAGACTTCATAGAGAAACTGACATTTGAAATGATGTGATGATTAATTATATGTGTCAATGTGGTTAGGTTATGGTGCCCAGCTATTTATTCAAATGCTAGTCTAGATGTTGTTGTGAAGGTGTTTTTTAGATATGATTAACATTTACAATCAGTTGACTTTAAGGGTAGGAGATTACTGTTTATAATATAGGTGGATCTCATTCAGTTAGTTGAAGGCCTGAAGAGAAAACACTGAGGTTTCCCAAAGAATAAGGAATTCTGCCTGAAGACTGTAACATAGAAATACTACCTGCTTTTCTAGCCTGCCAGCCTGTCCTATAGATTTTGGACCTGCCACCTTCACCATCACCATTGTGGGAATTCCTTCAAATATATATCCTATTCTGTTTCCCTTGAGAATATCAACTGATAACATACGGGTTTTGAAAACTCAGTAAAAACAATGGCTAAAAGAGTGAGCATTTACTACGTAACCAGCAATATAAGAGGTGGGGGGGTGAGGGGTGTAAATTGATAAATTGAAATCCAGGCTATGGTAGTTATATGACCATGAATAATTTGATCCTTCTCTTTTCCAAAGTCAGGTTTAATTCTATAGACTGTACTTAGTGACTCTAATAGATATAATGCAATAAAGTGACAGTTATTAGACTTTGAGACCAGGTCATTAAATGTACCTTCCTCCTTGCTCTCACTTTTGTATCACTGACTCTGGAGTAAGCCAGTGGCTGTGTGTGAGGACACAAAACAACTCTATGGAGAGGGCAGAAGCTGGACCAGGCTTTTCTAGAATGTTTTGAAAGCTTAAGGAGCCTTGAAGAAACTCTCAGATGAGTGTTTACCAGAAAGTGAGGTAAATATTATCGGTTAAAACGAATACTTAGATTCCTAGAAGAGAGACCAGAAGATACAGTACAACAGCCAGGCTACATCTACATCTGCAGGAACTCAGCATCCCACGAAAAGGGTAGGATACAAAGCCAAGACCTGGTGGGACCCAAACACTCCCCCCACCCCAGCTCACTGGCGGGAGGGAGTGGAAGCACAAGACTGCTAAATAACCAGCCCTAGTAATCTGCACCAGGAGCAAAGACACACATTGCATGGTGTACTGGATATTAGAGAAATGGAAAAGTAAAATCTGAGATGGAGACTGCAAGCAGGTCCCCACAGCTGGCTCCCCTGGGACAAAACAAAAGCCGGTGCTTTAAAAGTCTTAAAGGGACAAGGGTTTAACAGGTGGACAAAATTTTCTTGGCACACTCAGCCCAGCAGG